CGGGTTCCTCAGATCATTTGAAGCAACTTCTTCCTTTACAAAAATTTTCTCCGAGGCACCGTTAACGAGTTATTAACGAAAAACAGTGACCAATAAGAATCGAGTACGGCTGACGCGAGACGGCCCAGCCAACCAGCGCACGAAGCCCAGTTTCGCTCACCGACTCGGTCGCCTCGCACCAGCTGAGCTCGCCTCTCATTGGTCACTGTTTTTCGTTAATAACTCGTTAATGGTGCCTTGGAGAAGATTTTTGTAAAGGAAAAAGTTGCTTCAAATGACCCGAGGAACCCGCCACTTTTGGATTGCGAGACATTTTTGGGACACCCTGTACAGCGAATATATTGATTATCGTGCGCGACGTTTATTAACACTTTTGTGTAACAGGTACTCTGTGACAATTTAAGAAGGCAGCAGCACCAGTTGACTGAGAATATAGCGTTGCAAGATTCTCAGTTAAATGTTATAACGCAAAACATTTCGAACTCCGCAAAGATAAAGAGTTTGAAATCGTTAAAGGTAAATGAAAACATTTTTCACAACGCTCGGACGTTGTTTTGCTATTCGACGAAAATTTAAACGCTGGTATATTTGATTGCAGGCAGAGCACAATATACAAAAACGAGACCTTAAATCGCTAAAGCAAGATCTCCATAATCATATCGCGATATCACGCAGCCACAACAACATCGGTGTTTAGAGAGATATTCAGGAATCTGCCAAGTACGTCACTTTCAAAACAAGGAACAAGACTCGAGTCAGTCACATTCAAAGTTACTATTTCTTTTCTTTCTTTTTCGTGTAAAACAGATACCAGAGAAACAAGTGTAACAGAAGAGAAAAGGGAAGGAACCGAGGTCGAAGCTGTCAGAGTGAAATTGTATGTTGATTGTTCCAGTGAAGTCTATTGTAACTCATTCCTCTTTGTGACACCAGTGATAATATGGTAAATGAAGAAATGACTACTAGTTACACATCGACAATCGGCAACAGCCTGACGGTGTTGGCTCGTATCGCCCTGTTACTCACCGTAGAAGAGATAATTGTTTATCTACGATTACGCAAAAAAAGGCTACGCGTCGGTTATGAAAATTTCAAACTCTTCGCACCGGCAAGAATACATAGGAACAGTGCCGTGAGCAACAAAGCATGATCGAAATAATCGGCGTACGAACTTTCTGCTGTGTACAAGTACGACGAGTTTGTACGAACGAATTGTGGACCTTGTACCTAACCTGATTTTTGGCGCAGAGACACGAACGATCATACATATATATATATATATCTCGGTAACTATTTCCACGAAATGCAGACGTGAATCGTATTATAAATGAGGGTCGCGTGCGTTTTACGTACTTGCAGGTCCAATGTTGCGCAATTTTTAAAGTTTATGATAGCTAATTTGTAGATAGTGCGGAGTCGATTTAAAAATGGCCGCGCTGCTCGTCGTCTAGACTTCAACACTGTTTTATCCGGTCGTTACAAGGCCGAAATCACGAACTATTTCGATGTCGGATAAATCACGGTATATCAGCACATATATATCGGATGGATACAGCATCAGTTTTATTTGCGCATCCTGTTGGGTCACCGGATGCCAATTAACACGAGAGAAAAAATATAATAATGTCGTGAAAGAAAATTCAATTTGAATCTTACTGGTAAGAGCAAATTGGCAGTACAAAATTTATCGCGAATGAATGAAAGAAGAGATGTTTACGAAAAAGAAAAGAAAGAAACGGGGTCGTACTATACATAAAAAGAAATATTAGATACATATGAACGTATCTAGATTTTATTACTGTTACACGAGTACGGTAACAATGAAATTGTAAATTGTCTCGAGTCTCAAGTATATCACCATTTTCTTTTTCTTTAAAAGAAAAAAAAAAAAGAAATTCGATCCTAAATCGTGTGGACTGCTAATCCTTTTTAAATGTATCTATGTATGCACTATTTGTAACATATGCATGCACTTTCGAGCATTTTACATATTAATTTGTTATTTTTACAAATTTTTTTTACTTTTTTTTTGTCGAGGTATAACTAACGTAAATGAAACTATCGACCTGTTTTAACGGGCGGGATCGACGCCCGTCGGTCTCCGTACAAGAATTGCATAAACGAATATTATATTTCATGTTTACAACCGTTCTGTTATTGCGAATTTTTAGACTTTACTGGCCTCGTTATCCACCCAATATTATGTTACTTTATATTACTTTATTTAATTACAGCTAAGCTTTAGTGTCTATTGATCAGTGTAGAATAATTTCCGCGGTTATCCGATGCATAATTAAAAATAAATGGCCACGGGTAGATCATGCTCTGAGCTATAAGTTGACAAGAAGAAAAAAAAAAGGAAAAGAAAATCAATAAGCATAATCGAGCGAACGAACCTACGGTTCACTGTTAAAATCGGTTGAATTATACGAATTGTAACGCTGCGCACAACAAATTACGCAATGAGCGCATTCAACAGGGACACGTTCGACATCCTACAAATAAGGTCGTTGTTTCACATACTCATTAACGAAATACTTCAGATACAAAATAGCGTCTATGGAAAGGTAAATTGCGTCGCGAACTCTAATATCTCGCGTTCAAGTTTTGTCTAATAACTGTCACCTCGGATCGTTCAGCCTGTTCATTTAGATTTCAACTTCTGACGTGTCTACATTTGGGTTGTATGCAATAATTGCTATTGATGAATACTTTTTGCGTGTCACTGAAGGCTGCGCTAGACTACGTTCGATTACAAAGTGCCATTTACTTGGACGATCCATTCACAAAATTGATTTCTCTGGCAGCAAGTAGCAATCTGTCGACTTCGACATGCGCTGGATGCAATTCATGCGAACCATAATCGCCAGCAATGTTTCCATTCGCCAGCATAATAGGAGCGTCCCTCGCGTCCGCGCTACCCCCGCACCCGTAAATAATGAACAAACTGAAGTGGAGTAATGGAGGGGATGGTCGACTACCCCGCCAGCAATGTTTCCATTCGCCAGCATAATAGGAGCGTCCCTCGCGTCCGCGCTACCCCCGCACCCCTAAATAATGAACAAACTGAGGTGGAATAATGGAGGGGATGGTCGACTACTCCGACTGCGATGCGCCTGTGCCAACACGACGTATTCTCGCCACTTCAGTGTTCGCCTTTACGGGAGCTTTGCCGACGATTTCGGGATAAGTGCGAACGCTGGGGTCGCCTCTATGACGCCGGCAAATGGAAACAGCGTAATCGAACGATTTTCTAGCGTCGACAGGTACAGACAGAGATTGTAATATTTATCATCCCCTTGTCTTTATAACCCCTCTCGCGATCGATCCGACCACTTTGATCTTCTGGAACATACCTTTCCATTTTGTGTGACACTTGACCCTATTTCTACGAACTATGTCGGGACCTGGAGGACCTAATCGATAACGCTTGACCGCGTCTTGACGACGGTCTACTCGGTCTCTGTGAAAGACGGCCCGCAAAGGCCCTCCTCTTCGCGAGCAACGTCCGGCCCCCACCCCCTCCCCTTACAATTTACGAATTCTGTACAAACATTGCTCCTGTCCGCATAATAATTACAGCTAGTTATTACTCCCGATCGTCGGCACACACGTTCAGGCTACGTGAGGCCGCCGCTGTCTTCGGAAAATCACTACCTCAGCCGCCCCAAAATAAACGGGCGGTACTAATTATTAGCCACGTCGCTGGCCGCACTTCCCGTGCACGCGTGAGCTCGTTGTTTCGCATAGTCGTTAGCATTTTTTCAACAGCCGCGAGTAAATAGATCTATGAATCGTCTAGTTCCATTTCCCTATGTACAAGTATAAATAAGGCTGATACTGTAAATAAGAATTCCGAATCGTCTCGGCGGATCGGCGACCCCCCACCCCTCACACCCCCGCACCCCTTGTTCAGGGGATCGCCAATCCTCAATTTTTCCTTTTCTTTCTTCAACAAAAGCGTGCAATCGCGCACGTACTTTGCAAACGATCCGTGTGCTTTATCCCAAATACGTTAAGAGAATGGTTTTTCTTCTTTTTTTTCACGCGCGCGCGCTCCTCGCACGCTCGTTCGACGACGGCGTCGGTAGAGAGCGCGCCGCTTACGATTGTAACGTAGATTATTAACGATGTATTAAATATACGGGCAGCCCTCCCTTCCCGACGTCCCCCCTACTCCCTCGCCCCGCCCCACTTCTCGAGTAAGTTTCCGTTCCGAAAATGAACCACAACGACGAACGGTCCGCCGTTCCTCGGATGCACGTTATATTTTCTATAGCAACAATATATACATATATATACAGAGCGTCTCAAAAATGTCTCGTAATACGGAAAATGGAGGGTTCCTGAGATCATTCGAAGCAACTTTCTCCTCAGCGAAAATGCAAACCGCGGCTTCGTTTACGAGTTATCAACGAAAATCGGTGACCAATGAGAGGCGAGATCCGCTGACGCGAGACGGCCGAGCCAATGAGCGGAGCTGGGCTTTGCGCGCTCGTTGGCTCGACCGCCTCGCGTCAGCAGAGCTCGCTTCTCATTGGTCGGCGTTTTTCATTAATAACTCGTAAACGAAGCCGCGGTTTGCATTTTCGCTAAGGAAAAAGTTACTTCGAATAACCTAAGGAATCCACCATTTCCGGATTGCGAGACATTTTTGGGATATCCTGCATATGTATATATATATATATATATATTTATGGTGGATTCAAGTTATTCTTGATGATAATGAATATTCGTACTATTTTATAAGCTTGATGACTTATATACCGTGAATTGTTATATAAATTGCGTATTTATTTTGTGCAAGAACGATCGTTCACGCGCTGTACAGGCAGAAAAAGAGAGAGAGAGAGAGAGATCATGGAATTACGGAAGAGGGGGATTTATCTGTGTATAAAATAATTCGTCGCGTATGTACGCATCATGTTCATTGTAAAAATCGTCGTTGACCCCGTTTTTATGTCACTGACATCGACGTCGAGCGAGCCGGGCCGGACGGTCGATCGAGCCCCCCACCTGGATCACGATCTATAGAAATATATATAATAATATAATATAATATAATAATATAATATATATAAGATATATATATATATATATATATATATATATATATATATATATATATCAATTGGAAAAATCACAGCAAGCTGTTATCATTAATTATAACGAAATGAAATGAAAAAACGAACCGAACAGACTACTCCGATCGATCGTGCGCTCCCCCGGCCGATCGCTCGACCTTGATAAGTAAATCCAAACTTTTTTACGTGCTAGCTTATTACTAAGAAAGATTAAATGACTCTTGTATAATCCGTCGTGTTGTGGGCGTTTAGTTAAGTGAATGGCAGACTTTCCGATTCGTCATGATCGTTGTAGTACAAACAGTAAGTTTTCAAGTGTCTGTGTTTAGTGTCACTCCTCTCACCGTTGTAATCTATCGAGCGAAGGGAAAAAGCAAAAGAATAATTGTAAACGTGTTTTCGTGATCCTCGTCGGCGACGCAGTTTCGAGCGCTCGCGTACCAACCCATCCCCACCGCCGCGGCCGCGCGCGTCTCACCGTGTGCTCCCTGGTGGAGTGGGGGTAAGAAGAGAGAGAACCGCGCGCGGCCACGAATTTCCACGTTGAATCGTTATTGAGAATTAGAGGTCGAGAAATGTATGTATATGGAAACCGAGGAAAGAATATTGTATAATTATAGCGCAACCCGGTTTTCCTGTGTTAGATTCGTCGTCTCGAAACTGAATGCACCGGCCCGTTCACAGGGTAACTAACCTAACCAAAAAGATCAAAAAAGAAAGAAACAAATAAACAAACTGTCACGCAGAATTGTCACCGAGCAAAATTTTCGAAAGCTGTACACGAAAAGAAAAAAAGGTCGAACTAACCAACCAACCAACCAACCAGCATTCTTTGACAATAAATCTTGTTCATCTTACATTTCATTGCCCGATTCAACGAACAGGAAACGACGACACACAGTTCAGGCGCGAAAAATTACTCTTCCAATTATTTGCCGTTAACTAGGATCGATCGAACAGATTTGTAATGGGGAACGGCATCGTTTATTGGTGACATGAAACAGACGGCACTACTGAATTCGCTAAGCTCTAACGTTTAATCTTATAATACGACTTTGTAAATAACTACCTTTGTTATATTTTATACTCTGCTGTTTGCACATAAGTGATTTTTACAATTTCTTTCTGTAAGTTACACACCGGGGGCCCCGGCTCGCCCCGCCGGCCACGATCGCGGGCGTCCTTTTATTGTATGTTTTATACATGTACAATATATACAGGGTGTCCGAAAAATGCCGAACAATCTAGAAACGGGAGATTCCCGAGGTCATTCGATGTAACTTTTTTCTTAACGAAAATGCGATCCGTGGCTTTGTTTACGAATTATTAACGGAAAAACGGTGACCAATGAGAGACGAGATCAGTCGGCGCTAGGCGGCCGAGCCAATTAGCGGAACTGAGCTTGGCGCGCTCGTTGACTGGACCGCCTCGCGCCAGCCCAGCTTGGCTCTCATTGGTCACACTGTCTTTCGTTGATAACTCGCGTTAAGGATGAATCGGAGAAAATTTCTGCAAAGGAAAAAGTTACTTCAAACGTGCTCGGGAACCCCTTATTTCCGAATTGCGAGACATTTTTGGGACACCCTGTATATCTATATCTGTATAGACATGTATATTATATGTGTGCGTATCTTTCGGAGCAGAACGCTGCAAGAACGTCCTCTTCGATCAATGTTCAAAGAGACTCGCAATATGTATGTATGCATGTATGTATGTATGTATGTATGTATGTATGTATGTATGCATGTATGTATGTATGTATGTATGTATTTCGTTTTGGATCTGTTCGGTACGGTTGGACCGCTGTCACGGTGAAATTGTCCCTCGCGAAACGATCGTCTCTTCGCGAACCGTTGTTTCCGAGAAATTGGAAGCACAGCCGAGTTACGAAGCGCGTGCGCGCGCGCGCGTTTTTGTTCTTTTTTTGTTTTGTTTTTACCGTCTCCGTTCCGTGCTCTTCGAAAGAACTGGAAATTCTCCTGGCGAGAACTCTGTGTGTGTGTGTGTGTGTGTGTGTGTGTGTGTGTGTGTGTGTGTGTGTGTGTGTGTGTTTGCACGCGACCGCTGGAATCTAGATGTGTGAAATCAGCACGATGTAACAACACAGCTAGACCGACTTCCGCTCTTCGTTCGACGGACAAATTCGAACGCACGATCGGCAAGAATATTCCGTGCAAGAACAGAAAGTCCCGCGCGGTAAACAAAGTTGCTCCTTGTCCGGAGACCCGTTTAACACGTTCGTCGTCGCGTCACCCAGATCTGGGTGACGGGTATGCTTGCGTGGG